AATGGAGTGACAGAGTTGTAAAATAGACAAAAATTATTCCAAGCAGTTTGAAAGTTATGAGCTTTTAAGTACAAGTGGCCTAGAGCTTTGGTCAAACCATGATCATTTTTCGGTTATTGTGGTTAATTTTTATTATTTTTGTTAATTTTAACTGTGAAACCATAACCATGAGTAGCATTTTTAGAACCACAGTTACAAATAATGACAATTGCTCCAATTGCTTTTTGATATTAACCCTTTCCACTCGCGAATTCCGGAATTCATACGTATTTTGCATATGAGCATATGCATCCGGGTCGATAAAGTCAAGAGTTAATTTGTTGAACTATGGGTTTAAATTTTTCAAAATTTGTCAAATTTGAAACGCCCTTCTTTAATAAAATGTACTAAAGTGCCTTGGCAATTTTATTAAAAGTTCGAACATTTAATTAGGATTGTAAAACAGTGCAATACCCATAAGTTTCATAAAAAACGAGTAAAAAAATAAAGTAATTTTTTGCCAACCAATTTTACTGTTTCGTTACTATATGTCCCGCTCACTCTTAACAAAATGTCCATTATCCATCTCTCTCATCATTAGCATTTTAAGCAGTTTGACCTAATTTCTAGGTTTTCCCTATATGCCCATAATTTTCAAATTAACTTCTTCTGATTTTTATCATGATTCATTGATTGCAACCAATATGCCTACCAATTATCACCGCCTCTCGGCTTACCGTTGAATTCTGGGACACCCTGTATATATGAGTTCAAACAACCGGACGTCAAATCTGAGAAGATTTTATGGATTTTGTATTTAAGCAGAAATATTTCACTGAACTATAACGGTCGATTCTTAGAACTTATAGTTAGTCCATACACATAGCAACATCTTTAGGATTCAATATAATGACATACCATTTAAAAAAGTAAAAAATTCAAACATATCACCGCATTCGTTTCAAAACACTTGGTGTTCAAGCATTTTAAACCAACACAAAAAATTATATACCCTTTCGATCAATTACAATTTCATACGCCAAATGATAACTATATTTAACACAATCAAAGAGGTAGACATGGGCAACTTGAATGTTATCCTAAATATATATCAAATATAGAATACTTCGTTGATTAGCAATATGTATTCTACTACTTGTATATTGCTGAAATGTTCAAATGCAACTATAAAAAAGCAAAGGAGTTCGATTTCAGAAAAGTGATTTAAAATATTTTGATAAAACCGTATGTGGTTCATAATTTTGGCATAGGCAGATTCAGCATCTAATGAACTGATTCTGCCACATAACGGACCAATGTTATGGCAAGGCTATGTTATGAAGAACTTTCTATACTGAATATTGACAATCATGTGGTTGCTTATCCTGGAAACAGCACAAATGTCAAAAAAGCGATCTTATGTAACAGGGTCTTTCTGACTCAGCTTCATAACATACAAGTGACGTTGCAGTTTATGTGCAAAACGCCTGAATGCACAGCAAATACATGACATTTTGACAGTATTCAGTACGATTCAGTAGCATAATGTATGCACTTTGGCGAGTAACAGGGCCTTGCCATAACATTGGTCTGTTGTGCGGCAGAATCGGCCCATAAATCTGAAAATTTTAATTTTTTTCGACCAGCAAGTACCAGGTTATAATGTGCACTTGTACAGAGGGAACAGTAATACAATTATTATTAATGACATTACTTATAGAATATTGGCACGGCAAGACAAATTAAAATACCAGAAAAATTAAAAAACTTCCAAATCACTTTATATGAGGCTATAGCAACCTTAGTAAAGGATTTCTTGTTGGTGTCCTACCGTGCTATTGGTGGATTGTTACAGTGGAGCTAAAACTAAGCCCAATATCTAATAGATATTAGGCACTGATTATTATAATATGCTACAAAACATTATAGATTAAGTAGTTTATTTAATTAGAATTGCTATACTACTATAATAATTAAACTTTATTAATGTTCTTAAACCAATACCGCAGGTTTCGTCCAAACAATAATACGTTGAAACCGCTTTTGCATTTTTTGAATTACTGTTAAATAATGATGTACGGTAATTTTAAGTAATCTATGAAAGATTAAGTAGTCATGCGATACATAGATCCACATTCTTATATATACAGGAGTAAAATTTACTTGCTTAATAGTATGTAAAATTTAAATATCTATACTTCAAACTTCAAACTTATACTTTGGCAATATTTGTTCAGAAAATAGAGTAACTAATATAATAATAGAGTCAATCATTTTTCTCAGGATTTTTATTATTAAGGTGACCATACTTCCAGGAATGGCAGGACAGGAAAATCACATGGACCATGATAACTTTATTAGATAATTTAGTTAAAAATGTATCAAGAAAACTTGATGTATCAACGAATTTTATTTTTGCTAAAATTTCTGGAAAAACAAATTTCTTTTGTCACACACCTATGACTGACATAGCTCTATATTAAAACTTTTTTCTCGATGAATTGTAGTAAGGTGATCATACGTCCCGGTTTTCCCGGGACAGTCCCAGATTTCCACCTTGTATCCCGGATTTTTCTAAAAAGAGTATTTGTCCCGGATTTAGATCTTTGGAATAATGAAGTTCTTACTAAAAATCGGCAATTCTGACTAAAAAAAAGTCATAAAAAAACTGTTTTTTAATTAATACTTAAATAAGCATTTGTTATTCGAAAGCTCACCCCCTCCCCCCCCCTTTGTCTAGGATTAGCATAACTAAAAACTGCCGTCCCGGTTTTGACTTAAAAAAATATGGTCACCTTAATTGTAGTCCTGTATATGTCAGGCATATATGTCTCATTAGGGTGGTCCTTAATATGGGCATTTTTTAATTTCCTTGCTCACAAAGGCTCAAATTCTTCCAAATTAATAAAAAAAAACTCTTCCAAAAGTTTTAGCTCTTAATATTGTCTTTTAGATAGCACGCAATTCAATCAAAATTTTGTATGGAAATAGCATGGCATAGCGAACAAATGAATGAGTTTTATTTAAAATTCGAAGTTCTACAAAACAAATTATAAAATACCTGTTTTGCAGAGCGTCGAATTTTCAATAAATGATGACACGAATTGTCACTTTTAATTCATTTGTCGCTAAGTTATACTTAAAAAACATTTTTAAAATTTTGGATTTTTTCCATGCATTTCCATACAAATCTTTGATTGAATTGCCCACTATCAAAAAGTTAATATTAAGACAAAAACTTTTATAGAATTTTTTTTATCAATTTGGAAGCATTTAAACTCCTGCAAGGAATAAAATTCGAAAAGATCCATATTAAGGACCACCCTAATGTCTCATATGGCTCATCATAGATAAACAAGTACAAATGGTGGCTCATGTAGAACTCCTAAGCGTCAGACACATATGACTAACATGCCAAAATATAAGTTTAACGCATTTGATAAACAAAACCAAGTCCACAAAACCAAACTTTCTCACTTTATTCCAATTATCCATTCCTCTAAACCTCGGTGCTGTGGGTTTGTATGCGAACCTTCTTGACGCTGCCGTTCCTTCCCATGACGGGCGACTGACCAGAGCCCGAGAAGCCAGGATTTGGAATGCCCAGGCCATTGTTATTGCTCGCCCTGGGTTTCTTGAGCGATGATCTCAATGGGGATCGCGTTATGGAAGACTCGAGCATCGAACCGTTGGAAGAGGCCGCCGTCGTTGTCGTGTTCATCGACACCAGACTTCCGTTGTTGTCACGCGGGTGGTACGGCTTGCCACTGGCGTCAGTCATAGAAACGCCTGCTCGAATAAACGATAATGGTAAAAGATTTATTAGATATTTGAAACATGAAAATTAGGGGCACAACTAGTGTGAAATTTTCAAAAAATCGAATTTTCAATTTCTCCATATTTCGATAGGTTATACCTTTGAAAATAACATACAAAAATTTTGAATCGATATCTTAAATAGTTTTTGAGTTACAGCCATTTAAAGAGTATATATATAGTATATAGTATAACGATCATTTAATCTTTAAACGCGTTTTTCTCGAACTCAAAAACAAATCAATCCGATCATTATCAAATTTTTTTTACATGTTCTATATATAGTTCTCCGTAAAATGAACTATCGGTTTTTTGATCGGATCAAAAATCGAATTTTGGCAGTCCAAAAACGACCAAAATTTTGGGTAAAATTCCACTTTTTTTTTAAAAACGCCGTCATTTTGTCAATTTTTGATTTTTTTTTCTTTATCGTAGTTCATTGTACAGACAATATTATCTAGTTTAACAAGAATTTTTTTTTTTAATTTCATTCACGTAGAAAGCCGAAATCACTGCAGCAGTGAAGGGCCTTTTTTGTCGCGCCGTTGGAGATCGACGATAACTTAAAAAATATTTAATTTTTTTCTTTAATTTTACTATGTATTCTTAAAACATGTATAAATATATTCCTAAAATTTTTAAATGATTGATAAAGTAGTTTTTTTAATATAAATTCCCAAAAATCACCTTTTTTTAGTTGTGCCTCTTAACGGGGTATTTTGGTCTAGAATTTTTCAAAAATCGTTTTATTTTTTTTTTTTTTTAAAGTTTAACTATTTAACACTAGATTTATGGATGGCACTAGATTTACCTATTTTTACTGAAATGAGCCAATTTGGCTCATACAAAAAAATGTTTTTTTTTTTTTAAAAAAAATAGGTCCTATGTAATTTAAATGAAATATTTATTATCAAAAAATTTATAATAAACATTTTTTATCATTTGATCAAGTATATCAACGCTATTGTATATGTACAGTCATCAAATTTTCATAAAGCCAAATCGGCTCCGTCCGTAAATCTAGTGTTAAGAATATGTGTACAAGATGATTTTTCGAAAATTTAAATTATTTTCGGAGATATAGCTGTTTGACCACGATAATCTTCCTCTGTTTCCTTCATCAGCAAATTTTTAAGTATGATTTACTCGAAACTGTCTTTTTCGATACGATACCCACGATTACTCAACTTCTATTGGACCGATTTACTTTAAATTTTTACAGATTCTTCTTTATAGACTTCATTTCAGTATAAACTACACTCTAATTTTTACTATTTTCAAAAAATTCGAGAATATTAAAAAAGTAGTATGTTTTATTCAGGCAGTCTCTATTTTGCAAAAAAACATTACTTTAACTTGTCCTTATTTCATACGATTGCAACATTATTCCAGATTAATAATATTTATTTTTTCTGCAAATAATTGGGAGGGCTACTATTTTAGATATGATCAAATGCCAATCTTGAGACCCGCCACTTCTAGATCTCCTTCAAGAATTAAAGCTTTATGACTATTATTTTTTCTAAAATCAACTCAAAACATTAATTATATATTTGTGAAAAAATATAGTAAAAATATTGTTTGCCTTCTTATGGTCTTTCAAAAATCTCATAAAACTCTTGGCTCTAGACCAAAATACCCATTTAAAAGGTCTTAAGACGTCGAAAGTTGAAAACTCGATTTTTTAAATTTAGGTTTTCTGAATCTAACTATTAATATTTTTTATTTGATTTTATTGAATCAAAGAAATAGTCTTACTGAGGACTATATGTGAGGCAGAAATTCGATGCTTTCAGAGAATTTAATAATATATATGAAATGTAGACTTAGATTAAATTTAATAATTATTTGGAAAATTTTCATTAATCATGAACCTAACGTCTGCTCAAACAAACGATAATAAAGGTCCTATTTATTATGTGAAACATGGAAATTCACACGGTCTTAGGATATAAAAATATAAATCTCATTTTTTGTTTAAATTTTATATGCAATACGTTTTTTTTATATTGGCATGAATTAAAAATTCATTTAACAAAATTCATTTAACAAAATTCATTAAAAAAATGAATAAATTTTTTCTTCAAAAAAACATTTTTTAAATTGTTGGTATATAAATTTATGGATATAGTGGGTATGCCGTTTCTGCAGGAACTTGAAGACTATTTTTTTTTTAAATATTCACTAAAAATCAAATTGTAAATTCACTAAAAATTATATTAATAATGCGTCAAGCTATAGTTGTTTATCATTGTATATAAAATTATCATAGAATGCAATAAAATTTGTGTAGTTTTTCTAGAAAAAATGGAAGCTTTCAGTTTAGATTATTAAAATCATATATATGTACAAGTTAAATATTTATTTATTTTTTGTGTTGATGATATTTGGTATAAAAGATTAATTGCATATATATCCATTTTTCAGTTCTCTTATAATCATGTAAGTAGTCATTTTTGCATAACACAGGCACAAAATCATCTTCTATATTAGGAAAGTTAAAAAATTCTCTATGCATTTCAATTATTTTCATGATCAAAATTGAGAAGAGGAAGGTCATGAAGACTAATTTCCCTAGATTGCAAGTTGTTTACTTCTCTTATTCTCGTAGGCCATCTCAGCATAAGCGAAAAGTTATATTTCTTTTTATTGCTTTACTACTATTTTATCTAAAATATGAAATTCTAGTAATATTTTTGTTTACCCGGTCGATGTCTCTGATCACGAAAACCTGGATTGTTAAACGTGGTAGAATTATCGCCTGATAAATCAGGTCCTGATGTTGGATCACCACCTTTCCGGCGTGAAAATAGGACGTCGTAAATCGCCAGGATTAAAAGCACGAAAGTTAACACTATCAGCACAATCTGAAAAAAGAAGAAAAAAAATATATTAAATAAAACATATGTGAATTAAGTTACAGATAGAGATAATTGATATCAATAATTAAAAAAATAAAGATTTTTTTTACTTAGTATGTAAATATGTTATCCATTAGGTATTCAGTTATCTAACTACAATTTATGATCTGCGAAACCCATTCGAGAATACGCTATTATTTCGTCAAGCACATAACACGCTCCATATAATATTTTGATTTATACTAATTAATTAAAAAAATATAATAATTAGTGCCTTTGCGTGTATGAAATGTACGATATATATACAATACGATTTATTTTTTGTGCTGTAAAAATGGGTGTATGTGAGACCGTTCCGTTTTGATGGAGCGTTTGACCTATACAAGCGTTTACCACGCATGAACAACTCTTTGTTTTAGCATAATAAAGGACCGAATTAAGACTAGTTGTACATATTTTTTAATAAATTATTAGCCTAAGATAAATCAAATATAATCAAAACAAATAAAAATGGAAGATATTTATAGAAATGTATTATTAACTTCCCGTAGGGTAATTGTAATGGGCCGAAAATCGAAATTGAAAATTTTTACATTTCTCGACGTTTTCAAGGTTTCTGAACATTTTGGCATACCTAAAAAAAATGGATGTGTGTGTATGTATGTATGGATACAAATTTCCAGTTCCGTTTTCGGGCGCACGGATCAACCGATTTGAATGGTTCAAAAAACATTCGATTCCTATTGATAGGGAGAAGAGCTGATTAGTTTTTGGCAAAGGCACGTCCAGCCGTTTCAGAGATACGGAGAAAAAAGTGCAGAAAATAGAAATCAAGTTTTTGAGAGAACGAAGCATCTGATTTGAATGATCTAAAAAACATTCAATTAGTAATGATTGGGAGAAGTGTTTATTAGTTTTTGGCAAAGGCAGGCCCAGCCATTTCAAAGATACGGAGCTAATATGTAAAAAATGGCAGTTTTTGAGAGAACTAAGTGTCCGATTTAAATGATTCAAAAAACTTTCTGCTTGTCTTAACAAAATATTTGATGTTGCAAAAAAAATTTTTGTATATCGAAAATAATTCAGATTTTATTTTTATTTCTGACTGTAGTTCTAATATACTTTAAACAAATAATTTCAACTTTGCAATTCAGTTTATATAATTCTTATAAATATTAGACAATGTTACAATATTAAAAATAATCTATTTGAAAACATTCAGTATTCCTCGAACATTTCGCTACGGTACGGGAAGTTCCAGCAATTTGCCTTGAGGCATGATGCCATACACCCCACTAGTTTCCATACATTTCGAAATATGATTCTATGTAATCTACAGTTGTATATATATTAAATAGATTTGAGGATCAATTATTATGAGCTATCAGGTTGGCAACTAAGTAAGTACGGTTTTCACTTTTAGATGGTTTCAATTGAATTTTTAGGTTTGTTGACATAGTCCAAAAGTAAACAGTAGGCATTGTAATATATAAACTATCAATCTGTAAAAAAGTATTTTTTATCAATTGCGTAGTTTTCGTTTGGCCTTCGTTGAATGATGGAAAATCAAATCAAATCTCAAATTTTTGTCATATTTCAGTATTCAATTTTTGCAAAAGTACAAGGGCATCTTAAGCTCACAAAAAGGTATGCGCTTCTTATGGTGGCGAAGCCTTGGTCAAAATTGGTTTGACAAATTTTGTTCTGGCGATTTTTTACTCAAAGATAAAAAAACCTTCTGTTCGTGCAGTTGAAGTTGATTACAAGGGTATTGTCCACTTTAAACTATCATAACCAAACGATTAATTCTGATGTAAAACGCGGCCTAGATTGACAAATTGTAGTGGTGATTGGTTACATTATTGGCATCACATATCTTTATCCACATCCACCATATAGTCCTGACCTTGCACCACTTGATTACTTTTTATTTAGATCTTCACAAAACTCCTTGAATGGTAAAAATTTAATGATTATGATGGTGTCAAATTGTACCTGATTCAGTATTTTGCTAATAAAAAAACAGAAGTTTTATAGAAGTGGGATAAAAATGCTGCTTGAAAGATGACAAAAAATCAGGAAAAAAATGTCTTTGAATTTCTAGCAAAAATCCGCACTTACTTAGTTTTCAACCTAATATATGCGTAAATATTCACTTTAATCTTTTACACCAGATTACGTGTCTCACTGAGATAGATTAATAATATTATTTATTTACAATTTAATGTTTGATTATAAAATATACTTCTTTTTTTTGCCGGAAGTATTTCATTGTCTGCTCCCATAGAATTTTTGGCTGATTCAAATTTCTTACCATTCAATTAAAATCGTATACAGTTCTTCAACCTATTAACTACAGGTTACTAGAACATCCGTGGTGTTACAGGTCAATCATCGTAGAGTAATATTGCACCTTATTGGCCTAATGACCCACACATTGTGATCGAATTAATAGTCAGTAATTGAATAATTGGCACAATTAAGCCGGAACGAATATGCAATGTTGTTTTTATAGGACACGTTGTTGTGTTTTGCATTCACAGCCACTTTGATAAATTAGATGACGAAAATGAATAGATCCACGAATAAAATTGATCATGGAACACCCAACTACTCGAACAGGCTAATTAAACATATTTTGTTCAATGGTAACTGACCTAATTTGACTAGTGATCTTGACTAAATTGCATTGTAAAATTTTGTGCGTTACTCATTCAATAAATTTTTAGCTCAATTAATAGATACATTTATAAATGTTTGTCTATGTACAATAATAATGTATTTTGCTGAAATGATTTTACATTTGATAAATCTAATTCATCCCTTAACATTTAACTTTATGATTTTTTTTCACTTTGAGGTTTTTGGCAAACAAGTTCAATTTTTATAAGTTACTTTATTTATCTAAATGTGGGTCTGGTTTTGTATTCTTTTATGTCAGAACTTTAAGATGTTATAATATTTTTAACTATGCAGCTTTTTTAGGAAGCAACCCAACGGTTGGCCTATCTGTTTGATATATTCGCACATATAGAATTTCACTAATATGTTTGATTTTTTCAAGTTGATGTAGCATTGTCGAAATTTAGGAGTTTCCATCTATATTTTTCAAGTAAATGTTTTTTATTTAAAAAAAAAAAGTTCTACAATTTTGTGACAATTGTAATCATGTGCCTCTATTTTTTTTATTATTTCAAGATTTTCTTCCACTGATTGATGACATATATAGTGTCGAAACACTCCAATAAATAATTTACAATATTTATTTATTTTTTTAATTAAGTCGCCAGATTGACCATTATACTATAACAAATGTTTCAATGTCGAAAAAACTATCAGATAAATATATTGGATCAGAAAAATATGTATTGGATCTATCGATTTGTGTATATTGTGTTGTGCAACGAAATTCAAATAAATATAAAATAAGAAACTGGTTTTTATACATAATTTATTATCGACGTTTTGGAACTATGTACGTTCCATCCTCAGAACAGCTGACAAAAATATGAGCGTAATTAGAAGAAAAACAAAAAACTTATTTTATAAAATACTACAAATGTAACAGTACTCTAATTATTATTAATAATTATTAATTACCATGACTTGTGACAGGTATATATAGTAATTATTAACTGCTATGACTTGTGACAAGATTTAAGTACTTCCAATAAATGGACAAAACTATCCAGGCAATCTAGTTATAAATATTTAATACAAAAATCATATAGTTGTTCTAAAGTAATGCAATATTAATAACTTCAGTTTGTTATTTTCTCTTCGATTAAACCACATACCCCTCCAATGAAAAAAATAGTTAGAAGCATGGATAGTAAGTTTATCGTTGTATAGTATGCCATGTCATGATCGTCAGGGGTAGAAAATAGGTCACAACTTTGTCTAAACGGAAACATAGGGGATGGAAGTCCGGCATTTTTTCCGGACAATGACAGCTAACGAAATGAAATAAAAAAACATGTGTAATACACACCCATATATATTATTATTTCAGATTAACCAAAGCTATGGTATATCATTAACCCCAGTTTGCTAATGAGTATTTTGTATGGACGACATATTAAATTTTAGCGTCATATATCTCATTTTATTTATCAAAATCGTTCAAATAATGATTTTTAAATAACTTACTTGAATGTAGAATGACTCGCCTCTCGTAACTTCAAATCCATTATTGTCACGATCATCTGTCTGTAGAGCGAATAGACACGCAGCCACAATTGTCAATAAATCTAAAACAAGTACAATTTGCAATATTATTACTCCATTTTTTTTAAAACACAATTATTAGAATAATTGATGAATCGTATATTCGAAATCTTGTAATAAAAGTAAGGTGATAAATAAACGAAATGACAGCAATTTGCAGATTTTATCGTAAGAAATTGACTTTTTATATTCATCCCTTACACCAAATATTTACAAAAAAACGGTTCTTCAGTTCAAATTTTTCACAAATATAGAGTTTCTCTTACTTTGATGTTCCAATTATGAATTACTTGTAATTATTTGCAATTACAATCCTCGTAAGATTTATTATTTAATATTTATAGAGAAGTTGATTCAGACATAATACCAAGTTTATTATACTACATCCATACGTTTCGGTCTACGCCGAGACCGTCATTGAGTACAAAAAACTAAAATATTTTATTTAAATTTTACAATATTTAGTGTAACATTGATTAATTTAATCTTATTATTTGCTAGCTGCAAAAATATACTTGAAAAAATAACACTAAACCATTACATTATGGTTAAATCCATGTAATCAACACTTTCCATTTGCGAATTCCGAAATTTATATGAATTTTGTCACCGGAGCAGCGGCATCCGAGTCGAAAGGGTTAATAATCGGAACATCAAAGTAAGAGAAATTCTATATTTTTAACTTCCCGTAGGGTAAGTTATAGTAATCGCGAAAAAATCGAAAATGAAAATTTTTGCATTTCTCGACGTTTCAAATGTTTCTGAATATTTTGGCATACCTTAGAAAAAATGGATGTATGTGTGTGTGTGTGTGTGTGTGTGTGTGTGTGTGTGTGTGTGCGTGTGTGTATGTATGTGCGGATACAAATTTTCGTCGACGATTTCGGGAACACCGATCAACCGATTTGAATAATTCAAAAAACATTTGATTCGTATTGATAAGGAGACGTGCTGATTAGTTTTTGGCGAAGTCAGGTCTAGCCGTTCCGAAGATACGGGGCAAAAAGTGCCGAAAACGGTAACTCAGTTTTTAAGAGAACGGAGCGTCCGATTTTAATAATTCAAAAAACATTTTACTTGTATTGACAAGGTGAAGAACCGATCAAATTTTCATAAAGGCAGGTCTAGCGGTTTCGGAGATCTAATGAAAAAAGTAAAAAAAAAATGCCATTTGGCGGTCAAAAATGATCATTAGACATATGCACATCAAATTATCTGATATTTTATAGAGATTTTAACAATAAGTATAATTTTGGTTTACATTCCTATGGGTTCCGTACCAATGTTTACGCGTTAGACGTCGACGCGGCGCTTACACGGTTTGATATTTTGTCTTTATGCAGTTAAAGCAGTACATTTGCTTTGAAAAAAAGTTTAGATCTTTCAAAATATGTCAAAATAAAACAAATATTTTTTTTTCAAAAAAAAAAATTAAAAAAAAAAATTTAAAAAAATTTTTTTTTTCAAAAAAAGTAATTTTTTGTCTAATTGTTTGTCAAAAATCTTATTTTTTCGAAGTAAATTTTTTTCAAAAATGTTAATCGTTTAAAAAAATAATAATTTTTGGTACGGGAAGTTCCAGCAATTTGCCTTAAGGCACGATGCCTTAATTGCCTTAAGACAGAATTCCACTTACAGCTAGTTACTAGATGATCCGACAGACACGTTGTCCTGCACCCACGTCTACAGTTTTTTAATATCCTATACTAATATTTACCGTTTACCTTAAAATAATAAATTGATATCGTAAACGCCGAATTGCATGTATTCATCTTTACTTTCCCATTTGTGGTTTTAAAGTGAAATTTTTAACGTATTTTAAAAATATTGTAAAAGATGTAAAGAAATTTTATATTTCTTGAATTATATTGAAAAAAACTATATTGAAAACTTCATATCCGAATCTTGTGTTGGCGCCCCCTAAGGCGTGCGCTTGTATTTCTTGCACGCGTCGCGTTCAAGGTAGGATCGGCCCTGATTATTAATTAATTTCATATTTTAAGTAAATTATTCAATTTGCCATACATATATTATCTTATTGTCAATAATTACATACATTACATACATTATTTGCCATCTTATATTATTTTTGTCAATAATAATGTAGACATTTATTTTTTCTTATTCATAATCATGAAGATATTATACATATTCTAATATCGTCTAGGCTCATAAGTAAATTTAAATTTTTGGCAGATGACAGTTTTCATTTGTTTTCAATGTCTCAAATATTTTCAATGACATGCCCTTTTTTGCAATTATTTCCATTTATTTCTACAATATTACTATATTTTTATAATCTCATACATTCTAAAAAATTCCCTTAACAAACTTCAGAAAGATTTGTCAAAATCTGAATAATCGGTTAGGAGGAGTATATTTACATACATCATTACAGAAGAATTTTATATATAAGATATGTGAAAAATTTGTTTAAGTACAAAAACTGAAGAACCGTTTTTGGGAAATATTTTGGAACAAGGGATGAACATAAAAAAGTCAATATTTAATTCAGTTTTTAACCATAATTAGACATATGATCAAGGAATATTTTACAGTCGCGATAAAAGCTGTAAATTGCTGTCATTTCGTTTATTTATTACCTTATTTTTAAGTAGTAAGTGTTTTAAAAATAGTTCTGTTCTTGAACTTATATATTTGCTTCTTGAACAAAATGTTGTTATATGTTGTTATATTTATTTAACAACTCATATAACTTTTATTGATGTAACACATGATTATTAGAACTCAACGTAAATATATATATATATATATATATTATATATATATATATTATGTATATGTACTATAATGAATAAATGTTATGTTAAATAACACATCTTGATGGCTTACTTAACCTATTTCGAAGCTATTGTTAAGAGTCAATAGTACCCAGAATTGCTTAGAGACTACTTGTGTGTGACTAATATTAGCAAAGTATATGCAATTTTCAATTCGCACAAAATTTACATAAAAATAATAAAAAAATAAGTGTGAATGAATATGATTTTGCGTTACGTAATTGCCAGTGTCTGTATTTTTATCCATCTCTATATTTTTACACTGGGAAAAAAATATATTTTAAGAAAACATATTGTAATAAATTTTTATCAATTTATTACAATTAATTATTCAATAGTATGTTAATAAAACCAATTGATTTTTTATTTCTCAAAATGCAAATACAATCTATTTTTAAAACACAAAAAAACTTTTTTTTATTCTCTCTTTTAAGTACAACTGTCCAGTAAAGGACATTTAATAAATTTGTGGAATTTACAATTCAATAGTTGTTTTTCCATTAGATATAATATTCACAATATTTTACTGATAATTATATAATTTGAATTATCTACTTATAAAATAATGACTAAGTTATTTCAATTTTTTATCAGGAGAATTGATGACTTAAATCCAATTATGAATGACCGTATGTAATGTCGAGACCAAAATAGAGTTTACCCATTAGTATCCAGGTGACTTTTACAAACATAAAACCAATATGAAACCAAAATTAAATTATTTGCGGTTGACATAATGCGTCACTCAAAAGGAAAAACCAATCGTATAGAAGATTTTGCAACATTGCATACATTATGAAGATCGATTCCGTCATATTAATGCATAGTTTAAAGATTGATATTTGCTATTTTGTGAGATTTGTGATAATTTGAAACAAAAATTTGAAAATATTTCTATCTTTTTTTTATTTTAATTTTAACAGCAATCAGAACCGTCCTATGAGCTGTTGGGCTGAAACTTCTCCTTACTTCGTATTTTTTTAGATGGTAACCCAATGGTAACAATGGTTTAGATAGTAACACAATCCATCCACATTTGATGATTTTTGTTATTAGAATTAATCTAATAGGACTGACTTTTTTTTATTGGTGCAGCAATGCCGGGCAAGGGCTATTTTCACTTGGAAACATATTGTTATTTATATTTCCAAGTAAAAATCGTTGTCACTGCTGCCTTACGACAAGTTGCTCAAAGTGAGTATCGAACCCTGGACCTCTGATTCAGGCTTACCTACGGGCGAGCCCTATATTTCTATCTTGACACAATAACTGTCTTTGATTAACTAACTTCCATGTATAGTATCTGTATACACCAGATAAGCGATTAACGACCAAGTTGAATGACAAAAAACCTCATTTCCTAGTATGCCATAATGATGTGATGCCGACGTAGCATCTATAGTGACTTTTGATAAGACGACATATCGATTTACGTGACCTGATACTGACTGTGAATGAATACTTACTCGAAAGCAGGACTATGGCTAATTTGAGGACGACCAGCACGTAATACTGACATACGATCTTGTCCTTGGACGTTATCTGGGCTATCTGCAGAACACTCAGGATGCTGAATACACCTAGAAGAACAACACTCGTCGCTGCAACCAAGCCTGCAATCCAAACTGCCACTGGAAAAGAAAAAGAAAGGATAAGTTATTGTGGAGGGTAAGGACGAAATATATATTTATGATGCCATTTGTAGCGATAGTTTTGGTAACCAATATCACTATCAATTTGACAGTGATCAGTTAATAATAACATTTGAACAGCAATCAGATTTATTTTGTCAGTGATCTATCTAACTGTTGTGATATATGAGAAATTGAGAAGGCATGCAAACAATATATTAATGTTCTCTATTATACAAAATTATTTCTCTTTTTTTATTTAAATGCGAATTACAATCTATTGATTGTTTTGCAGTTTTTTGACACATTTATTACATGTTCTATTAATTATTTTTTACAACTATAAGAATGCGAATTTAGGTTGTCCTCTCCTTAGGTTGTGGTTATATTCTTAAATACCTCAAATCAGTATTTTTGACATGTGAATGTCATGTGCTATGGTATACAATTGTGGGACAGTGCTCATAAGACTAATATAGAAATAATACAGAAATTTCAAAACAAATTTTTGAAAATTGCCTTAGGAGCTCCAAAATATGTTCCCCAACTGGTTGATTCATGTCGACACAAATACACCTACCATAAATGAAGTAATAACAAAAACAGCACACAAGTATAGAAACAAGCTAATTAGTCATCCAAATTTATTAGTAAATTCCTTGATAACAGGAATCCAAAAAGATTGAAAAGAAAAGCGCCTCTGGATATAATCCATCAACTCTCCTGATAAAAAATGGAAATAACTTAATCATTATTTATAAGAAATTATTTATTAAGTAAATAGTTAAAACTATATAATTATCAATAAAATATTGTGAATTTCATATCGAATGGAAAAACAACTACTGAGTTGTTTTTTCCAACATACCCTTGTAGTATACAATGTCCCTTTTCGGCCGACTATTGTAAATTCATCAAATTTATGGAATGTCCTTAACTGGACAAAAAAATTAAGCTTTTTATAGTAAAACCCAAAAATGCTACTTTCACTTGAAAATATAATAAATATTTCCAAGTGGAAATCGATATCACTACTAATTGATATCAGGTTGTGTTGTATCAGCACAAAACCATGTGGATGCAAAGCCTAGTTTCTATACAAACCCGGACGATTAGTATTAATAATTATGTTTCTGAAAATATTCAAAAATTTTCATTTTCAGTCATTTTCATCGTAACAATAATTGTTTTGCTTCATGTTGAATTTTTTTATAATTTTTATAAGATTTTTTTTATTGGTCATTTTCATTGATCTCTAGTGTTTAAGAGCTTTGGTCTTCTAAAGTGGAAAATTATTCTAAATTTCCAGGTTCAAGTTCAGCCTCGAGCAACATGATATCAAGCAGATCTAATATATAAATATATTATATTATAAAGTAGAGCAGAGTTGAAAGATCCGTTGGTAAAAAGGACCACCACAAGTAAAAATTAAGAATTTTTTAATAACAATATTTGAAAGTAGAGGGAAAAAGGTGAATAATCAGTCATCACCTTCATTCTTAGGAGTTGAAAGATCCGTAGATAAAAAGGATCACCACAAGTAAAATTAAGATTTTTTTTAAAAACAATATTTGAAAGTAGAGAGAAAAAGATGAATAACCAGCCATCACCTTTATTCTCACGACGTTGCTATAGATAAACAAAATTTTTTGAAAATCTATAATAAAAGTATTTTATTTAGTTGTTAGTTTCTAAGCACTTTTGTTTAGTTTACGACACCTTCATTTATTTTTTTGGTGTACGTTATCCAATTGTTTTATAAAATGTATTATTATTTTTAAGTTAGATTCAACAGTTAAAAAAAAAAAAAAACTATAAAAAAGCTCACACGTAGGCGCAGTAAAAAGGACGAGTTATTCCAACTCTGCTGATGAATATTTCTGACGAAATATTAGATCATAGTTATATAAATTGTTATTTCTGTTAAAAATGTACCCATGAAATTTATATTTAGCATTGCTTGAATAATATAGCTATTATTTCGTAAAATTCCATCAAAATTAAAAATTATATATTGGATCTGTTTGCCCGTGGCCGTCCCATTTCACCCCGCCTGTGGAGTATAAAAGACCAGTGACAAATTTGTGAAAAACAGCAAGAAACACATTTCTACAATGATGAATATGCTGGGAGTTTTACTAAACACAGTCAGATAGTTGATGGTTTAATATATATTATTTGTTGTGATTTACAATAACTTACCCTACGGGAAGTTAAAAATTAAATCATACAATGGTTGTTTGCAAATAAAGAAATTTAATCAAATTGCCCTGAGATATGATATCATTTGAAGTGATTCGAAACACATGATATCGTGTAACATCTCCATTCTGAACGAGAAACCACAATAATCTCCTCGTAGGCTTCAGTAGATCCAGATACATCCGGCGGAACGAATTTAACGCTCGTCGTATCGTAGCTCGGATTTGTTACGCAACGGCCCCGGCGGGAATATGCGCGGTTACGCGAACGTTGTTGTCACTTTATAATTGAATTTGACGTTCATTCCACGGCTTTTGGATTAAATATTATGTAAAAGGAGATGCCCTTATGCCGTTGAAATATTTATCACATTTTCCTCGAAAATGAATCCGCGCATAAAGCGGACCACCACCGATATCTCAACAACCAGTGAAATAAAGAAGTTTTTAACAACAATATTTGAAAGTAGAGGAACAAAGATGAATAATCAGTTATCACTTTGATTCTTAGGGAACGTCCATCAATCATGTGATCGATTTTCTAATTTTAATTTTAGGAACTTTTCACCAGCAATATTTGAAAGTAGAGGGCAAAAAATGTATAACCAACCATCACCTTGATTCCTACGACGTTGCTATCGGGAGATGTTTAAAAATTCATAAGAAAAGTATTTTCTTCCGTTGTTATTTGTTTTGATTGTGAGCAATGTTGCTTAGTTTTCCAGACCTTAATATAATTTTCAAATATACGTTATTTAATTGTTTTATGAAATGTGTAATTAATTTTAAGTTAGATTCAACAGTTTTTTTCATATAACCTTTACAAAATTCTTACACCTGGGTGGGGTAAAAAGTACCAACCGAACCTTCACCCTGGCGAAGGTGTAAAAAATAAAACGTTATAAATTAAGTTAAAATAAGCTATTTTACAAGAGAAATCAAATAAATAGTTATTCCAACTCTGCTGATTAATATTGTTGATGAAATACCAGATCAAGGTTAATTACAGTGTTATTTATCTCTGTAAAAAATGAACCCATGAAATTTATATTTTGCATTGGTTGAGTATTTATTTTGTAAAAACCCTTCAAAATTAAAATGAAACATTGGACCTGTTTGCCCTCTGGTCGTACCAATTTACCGCGACCATGGGGTAGAAAAAACCAGTTTACAAATTTTCGAAACATATTTCTATGATGATGATTTAGCTGGGATTTTTACTGAACATAGTCAGATAGTTGTTTGAGATATATTATTTGTTGTGATACAATTGTTTTGGTTTTCACAATATAATTGTGTAGAGTCAAATTGCACCTCTGTGCCCCGCCCTACCCTATATATTATTTATAAACATATTTCTATAATGATGATTTAGCTGGGGTTTTTACTGAATATAGTCAGATAGTTTTTTGTTTGATATGTGTTGTTTGTTATGATATAATTGTTTTGGTTTTCACAATATAATTGCTCAAAGTCAAATTAGACTTCTGTGCCTCTTATTACTATATAAATGATTTTAGATAGCAATCAAAACTTCCTGCAATATCACAATTTCATCACAATAGTTCCATGAGTGTGGTTAATACCCTCCTTAAAGTGATATCTTAGTCTAGAATTTTTAAGAAATCGATTTTTTTACTATATGATATAATATTTTCAAAGTTTAACTATACAAGATTATTTTAAAAATTCAAATTATTTTCGGAAATATAGCTATTTGACGACGAGAATATCCTCCTCTGCTAAATGCGTTTTTCTCGAAACTGTCTATTTCGATGCGATACCCACGATTTCTCAACTTATACTGGATCGATTTGCTTGAAATTTTTAAACAGTCTTCCTTATACATCATACTCTTCAGTATGATCTTGGGTTTTTACTATGTTCTATTATTTATTATTCACTCCGTTTTTTTACTATTTAAAAAAACGAGAATATAAAAAAAAATCTTTTTTCCAGAAAATTGCTATTTCCAAAACCCACTAAAATTCATGCCTCTAGACTAGAATACCCCTGCTTTTTCGAAGACAATATAAAGGTTGGTTCTCTATTAGATACATTGTAATATTAGAATTTCTCTAATAATGATTATGATGACTTTTAATTTGTTCAGTAATTTCAAGAAAATGTTATTATTAGAGTTAGTAGTAGCAAAATCCGATATTTATTGCCTTTAAGACTAAAGTAAGAAAGAAGAACTTTGTTTGATTGCATTGCTCGAATATAGAAAGATGAATACAGATTCTGCAAATCTTCTAAGATCAACATTTTTTCTTTAACTACAGAACTATCGAATGACAAGTGTACATTGAAAATTTTCCATCCTAGACAAAGTATATTAGACTGAATATGTAAAAGGTATCATATTTTCATTTTGAGTGTTTATTACAAAAATAGTAGTAAATAATTGTACAACATTGCAAACTCCATTGAAAAATATATTGAGACTACTGGAACGATTTATAAACCAATCATTGAAATGGTATTCTTGGAAATTAGCAGAGTATAATATTTTCTGCTTAATTCTCACGAGTAGATTATTTTCACACATAGTAATTTTTAGATTGAACAGCAATTAGAACTATATATCTTCTATGAACTGATGTGATGTAAATCTTTAACCTAGTGTTGTTATAATGCAACCCAGTGGTTGACCATTCTCTATCTGATGAGATTTTTTAACTTCCCGTAGGGCAAGTTATAGTAATCGCAAAAAAATCGAAAATGAACATTTTTATATATCTTTACGTTTCAGAGGTTTCTGAACATTTTGGCATACATTAGAAAAAATGGATGTAT